ACCGTGGAGAAAATAAATAAATAAGTCAGTATAAGGAAAACTCTTTATAATCAAGTTTCAATATAGAAAAACCTTGTAATAAAGTTTCAAGGTAGAGAAAAACTCTTTGTAATATGAAATTTCAATATAGGAAAAACTATCAGGTGGTAAACGAAGCAGGAAAGGAATGAAAGCTTTTGGCTTGAATTTTGGCTCTAAGGTAGCAACAAGGCAAGCCCACACCTAATATTTACTCATTGTTTTTGAGAAAGGGCTGCCCCACATATTAGCTAATTTGTACTTCAATCAATCCTACAAAGATGGAAGCTATGTTTTCCCATTTTGCAGACTAGGAAACTGAGTCTTAGAGTTACATGACTCTCTCAGGGTTGTGAAGCTATTAAGTGGAGAAGCCAGTGCTCTTGATTCCAGTGCCCTTTCCATTATACCACACCATCACCTGTTTCCCATTCAGCCCTGCCTGAAGAGGAGGCTGCCCAGAAATGAAAAGAAGTCAATACAGCAGGTCTTTCTGACAGCAAGTCACTCGAAATTCGATTTTCATATACAATGCCCCTACCTCCCTCTCTGCCTGGTGTAAAGAATGGAACATTTCTTTTAGGCAGAGCTACTCACAGAGTTCTGTCCCTGACTTGCACCATTTCAATGCAGAGTTCAGGAGGAACAGCACAGGCTGCTAATCAAAAGTGCTACATTGTTTGCTTTTTTTATCAGTCTGCCTTTTCTGTCAGTCTAATTCTATCACCACTGTCACAGTGAGACCTCCAAGGGGCTGAACACTTCCCTCTCACGTGTACCCAGCAACTGAAAGGCACATCTGATTGCATGATGAGGTAGCTATCAGCATTTTTTTCTAAAGGGTAGTACCACCAAGATCACTTTAATTACTGTGGCAAGAGCTACCTGTCTGTTACCAAAGACAGACAGGCAACTGTTCAGTTCTCAGAACCAAATATAATTTCTAATGATGAGCAGAAACTCTGCTCATCATTACCAAAGGTACGTGTCTCTGTATGTGGGGTGGCAAAATACAACCACAAAACAAGAGAGTAAAGGCAACTCTAGGTTTACATACAAAGATAATTAACTGTCTCTATTAAATATGTATATGAACATTATATTATTGCATTCCTCTCTCATAGGTCAGCACTTAAATCAATTGATTTTCCAGCTTTGACTTAAAAGGTTGAGATGAGAACACAAGAGCTGTCATGAGAAGGCAGTATGCAGTATGCAGTTTTGCCTCAGCAGTTTCTGGGGCAAAATGCACATTTCCTTGTTGCCTGCTCCTTTATGCTTGGGGGGATGGGGGGACACTGGGCTACCAGGGAGGGCTCTATCCAGCAATGGTGGCGTGTGACCCCAGTGAGAACTCAAGTTTCAGCCAACCAGTGCTCACAGAGACCTGAAAATGCACTTCTCAACACTGCTTAAGTGAACATCTTTAGATCACAATGCTAGGTATAGACAACCCCGGATGGAAAAAATGCCTATGTCATTGGGTAACTGGACACTTGGTAGAAGATTCATTCTCTGAAAAGGATACCTTTCTGCAGAGAGCTTAGGTACACAAGCAGTTCTACTGACCATAGCTACATCTGCTCAGGGATTCTAGGCTGGGCTGATGGAAGGCTAAATAATGATCCCCTGATATAGCACCACTAGGGCTGATATAACAAATGGGGTGGAAGGCCCTCCCTACTGGGAAGTCCCAGCAGCTGCTGCTTTAAGAGATGTCTATGTGTGGAAGAAAGTTGCCCCACGAGGACAGCTGAGCAACTCCAGGCCATCACTCACCAATGTACTCATCCTGGTCCACAAACCCATCCCCATTCTTGTCGATGTCCTCCAGAGTTTCCTAGGAAGCAAAGGGCAAAATACAATGTAAGATGGTCATGTGCTCTGAGCTGAGAATTCTAATGTCCAGCTTTCATGGCCTCCTGCTTGGTGATTCCAGGCTCATTCCCTTACCTGCCCAGGCACTAGTTCACCTGTTAAAACAGACAATGGATTCTGTCCCTACTCCTCCTCCCTATAATTTTAAAAGCAAAAATCCTTCCCTAAAGAAAAATGTGCGTAGAAGCCCAGAGGTGTTGTGAATCTATCAGGAAGCCCTGCCAACCCAACCAATCTTCACCATGTAGTCAAGCACTGGGGGAATCTGTGAGACCACTGGATTGAATGATCACAAAAACAGATTCTAGAGCTACCAGTGCTGGGAGCCATTAGCCAAGTAGGTATGACAATTTCCTTGCCAGCGTACCCCATGTTGCAGTGACATTGAATGTAGGTGACCTTGCTCAAGGACCAGGGCGGATTAGGGTGTTCCCGGTTTAGGATAATCGGGTTTAGGGCGTTCCAGGTTTAAGATTATTCCTGCTAGGAATAGGGCGTATCCTGCTGCCTGAGTTCCCCTTGAGTTCTCACGGGATTCAGACAATATTTTTTGGGAGACAGAAGCCCAGTGGAGGTGGATTTGGGCAGAGAACTTGGATTTTCCCAGAACGTGATTGTAGACGGCTGGTGTGAGTTCGGGAATAAAGAGTTGCTGTTTGAATCTACAAGCTGTGTGGTGGCTCGTGATTGTGTGCCCAGCCAGACTGCGGCATTTGTGCCCAGCCAGACTGCGGCAACCAGGACTAGGAACACTGAATAATCAGAGAAATATGAAATCACAAATAATTAAATAATAAAAGTATATCTGACTTTTGAATTATTCTACTTTGGAATTAGTATATTTGACTTCCTAATTAGTTCTTTTGCCAGGGTCAGTAATTAAATGAGTTTACTGTCCATAGGCATAGCAACACAAAAAACATCCCAAGTCAAAGAAAACAGCCAACCAGAGAACACAGCACTAATCTGGAAGGCATGTAATTAGTCCACTTGTGGATAATTCCATCATCACTGGTCCTCTGGAAAATTAGTTATCACTAAACAGATATTGGGCTGCAGAGAGAAATGGTTCTTGAAGCCCTGACCCAGTCCCGAGGGTCCTAGGTGTCCTGAGCATGAGCTGGGGCAGGAGTGGACGCCTCCCCCACCTGGATGACTAAAACAATCCAGAGCTGCTTCTGAACAAAGGCTTCTCTTTGGAAGAAGGCACCTATTTCCTAGCATTGAAGCAATTGAAACTGGCTCAGGACATCTGCCCAGGAAACAGATGATGGCATTTATTTAATTGTTGTGGGAAATAGGCACCTGGGACCCAAAACAACACTGGAAAGTGATAACTCAGAGGCCTTACAAGACACTCATCACTCAAGCCCTAGCATCTGATCCCTTTATCTTCCAAAGACCCATCTTTAAGAATAGCAACATTATAAACCACCATTCCACCTTAAGTCCATAAATTTTTAACAATCCAGTGCATTTCATCTCAAAATCTTTTTCTAAGTCCCTCAAAGCTAAAAAACAGGTGGAGACAAGCCAGTTGCTCCCTAAACCCATCTGCTCTTCCTAGGCACATGTCTACACTCTCTCTCCCAGTCTCCTCATATCTAGAAGGGGTCACTGCAACATAAATGGAAGGGATGCGTCTTTTTTCGTGGCCAGAAAAGTAAAGACCATCTATACGTTCTCTTTATTCCTTTTCTTTCCTTTGTCTCCCACCTGGTTGTTACCAAGATGACCTTGAAGCCACAAGATGATAGAGCCCAAGATGGAAATAGTCTGGGTACCTGATGGTGTTTAGAGGGGAACTGCCCAGGAGATGAATCTGGCTGAGATCATCTGTACAGGACTTTGTAAGAAATAAGCTTTGATCATGTTAAATGATTTTGACTGGGGGCTATTTGTTACAGCGGCTAGCTTGCACTAACTTCCTGGGTACATAGGTATTCAACACATTCAACTTCAGATTCCTTCTCCAATTCTTTAGGCTAAAAAAATGTCTCTCTGTGGATGAAGGGACAAGATGAAGGGCAGCATTTTCCTGGGTCTTTTCTTAGCCCAGGCTCCTCATTGATCTCACCAACACCACAATTTCCTTCATATGCTCAAACTCCTCAGGATGTAGAAAGGCAGTGAACTCCTCTCGAGTAGCTGTCAGGTCCCCATCGAGGTCTGCAGCCTTGAACCTTCTCTCATCACGTGGCAGCATCTTTTTGAAGGTATGATGATCGGAACTATCTTGGAACTCTGTGGGGTTTCCTACAGGATGTATGCAGAAAAGCCAAACATTACACATTGGACAAAAGGTCCTGACCTACTGAGTTCTTTAAAAACATTTTATTTCAGAATGCCTCTAGTATCTGTCCCTTCAAGTCATCCCTTCATAGAGGCCCTAATGGCTTATTAGGGGCAACAGAGCAAGTGGTTAAGGGCATAAGCTTTAGACGGTACAATACTGTACTTCTTTTTGCAGAACTCTGCTTTCATCAATACATTCTTTGATCTAAGATGTACATAGGCTCCCTGGTTCCCTGTCTTGTTTAAATGCCTCTGCCTGGCTTTCAGTATCTCCTGAGTCTGAGCACCTGTGTGTCCCTGGTTCTCTTGAGGCTTGTCTCCTTGCTGTCTCTACCAGGCAACAAGAGGGTTTGCACCCTGGAACTATGTAACCACACTCTTGCCTCATTACTCCTTTGATCTAGTTTGTCTTAAATCCAAATGTTACTGAATGCACTATTCTCTGCCGCCCCCCACCTTCCCCACAGGTCTCTCTCTCTCCAAATATAAATCCATTCTTCAAGACCTGGATCCCAAACCACCCTCCAGAAAACCATCTCCCCATCTCCAACTGCTCCACAACACTCCATTCTTGCTACCTAAAATTTACCAACAGTTTGAAACTGTACCACAGATATATTTCCTTTCTGCTTTCTTATCTGTGTGCATCTCTGAGATGCAGGTCCAAGTAGGGTGGCAACCTAGTGGATTTAGTGGTCCTTCACACCTTCCCCTACAAATCCACAAAGGACTTCAAAGTAAGCAACTCAGTCCATTCTTAGTAGGCAGATTGTTCTCAACAGATTCTATTTAGGAGGGTTTGCCACTTCCCAAAATGGGTAGGCATGATGAGAGAGAGAAGAAAATCCCCCTCAAGAAGCTTGTTCCCTGGACCCCAGCTGGATGATGTCTCCTATAGCACCTCTTACCCAGGTAGTATCCATAGGTGGCTTGTTTGTATTCTTCCCAGGAAATTTTATCGTCTTTGTCTCTATCATAATCCTTCCAGACTTTAGCAACATTATCATAAATGTATCTTTTCTGCACCCGTTTGATCCAACTTTTCAGCTCCTCGGTGGTGACAAAGCCATCCCCATCACTGTCAATTCGATCAACAATCTTCCTGTAATAAAAGGAAAAAAAACCCCACAAGATTATTATAAAGGTGTGTGTGATCTTGGTCCAGTGAAAGATCAAACACTTGCACAATCTAAAAATGCATAAATTACTGAAATAGAATCCGTGATCTAGTAGTGTTGGAAAAAGTGCTAACATGTATCCTTTCAAGAATGATATGCCCTTCTCCCATACCTCGACTGCTGCCTATTACAGACATTACTAATGGACCATGCCCCTCTGTCCTGACAATCCTAGATATGACTTCAGAATTATTCTCACCACAATGCTCTGGGGATGGCCACTACCAACTTGTTGGAGTTGACCTGGAAGATCAAATTTATCTGTCCTTCCTGGAGTATTCCAACTCCCTAATTTTAGAGTAACAAAACTGAGGCCCAGAGAAATGCAACGATTTTTCAAGATCACACAGATAGTATCTGGTACAATCAGGATAAGGACTCATTTTGGGGGGGCTCCAGGTCCAAGGCCAAAAAAAAAAATTTTTTTTTTTGAAAATTCAACGTAAATCATAAAAGTAAGCAATTTGGTTTTTGTGTTTTTTTTTTAAAGAGAGAGAATTTTAATATTTATTTTTTAGTTTTCGGCGGACACAACATCTTTGTTTGTATGTGGTGCTGAGGATCGAACCCGGGCCGCACGCATGCCAGGTGAGCGTGCTACCGCTTGAGCCACATCCCCAGCCCCAAGTGATCAGATCTTATTGGACACAGCATAAAATATCAGAGATGAAAGAACCTCCATGGCATGGAACCTATTCCAGAAACTTGAGCAGCTGCAGAAGCTTAAGGCCCCTCCTCTCTCGGTGAAGGTCCCGAGACCACTGGGGTCTCCACAGCTCTACAACTGGCCCAGGTTCCAGTGATTTCCCACTGGACTCCATTGAGGCATCCTAATCACTGGTCCAAAGCAGACTTCAGGTTGGAAACTTGCCATGTGTCCATCTCTAAGCCAGATGGTCCCAAGCTAGGAACACCATTTCTGTAGGGAACTTCCAAGACATTCCTAAGCTATTTTTAATGCCTACAAAAGTTCACCCCTAATTTCATTTACCTGGGATGAGGTCATACTGGCCAACTATGACTTTTTGAGGCTAGAATTAACTTCAGTGGTAAAATTTTCTTGTCAACAAAAGTTCTGATTGGAGTTGATCTTTGATTAATTACAAATGAGATATGAGCTGGGCATGGTGATGCAGCCTGTGATCCCAGTGGCTTGGGAGGCTGAGGCAGGAGGATTGTGAGTTCAAAGCCAGCCTCAGCAAAAGCAAGGCACTAAGCAACCTAGTGAGAGTCTCTAAATAAAATACAAAGTAGGTGCCCCTGAGTTCAATCCCCCGCACCATCCCCACAAAAGAAGGGAAATGAATTCCTTAGCTCTTTATTAGTGCAGCTTGATGGTTTGATCTCCTATAACTCATAACTATAGGAGACAGGGTATGAGTGTGGGGAGGGGGGTGGAGTAATTATTCAAAGTCACCATCTCCCACCTGAACCCAGGGAGCTTGGTCAAGCTCTTCTTCCTCAGGAAGGTAACAAAAGGTTCGAATGCTACTAGCACCCCTATGGTGTCCCTTCTTTCCCAATGTTAACAGCTCTCAAGCCTTAAGCATCTTCAGGCTTCCCCCCAGGAAATTCTAGCCAGACACAGCAGAAGATTTTCAGCACTGTGCAGTGTTAATCCCAGCTACTGTGTGCCAAGCACTGCTCCAAACCTGGAAACACAGTGGTGACCTGCCCATTGGCTACCCACTAAGGAGCTGAATCTCAGGCCAACAAAAAACTAGGGACATCAGATCATACAGCCTTCCTTTGAGAAAAGGGTACATCCAATTTACACCAAATGAATCTCCAGGACATAGCTTAGCCTGAACGTAGGAGGAGCTCAATAACTATTTGTTAGAAAAATAAATAAGAGCTTGACCTCTCTCTTGAAAAAAAATCTCAAAGAGTGAGGTACTGGGAAAGGCAGATTTGATGTAGAGAAAGCTGAATGCTTTAATCAGAACACCTGGATCCATATTCTGGCTTTGGCCCCATTACTTGAGATCTTGAGCAAATGACTTGATGCTCTGAGCCTCCGTTTTCCCATCTATAAGCTGGAACACTTACTTCCCAAGGAATGTTGTGAGGAACAAAGGAGAGGAGGTGTGCCTTTCCTCTCCAAAGACACTAATCTAGGTCCAGGTCGATGGAAAACCCCATAGACACTCAGCAAGTAACAAAAATGAGCAAAGCCAGTAGGAGGCCCTATGGCAACTGGGAGATTCCCTGATAGTTGTCAAGAAAGGTTGCCCAATTGAGTGTTTAAAAAAAATTGGGGTCTGGGCTGGGGTTGCGGCTCAGTGGTAGAGTGCTTCCCTAGCATGTGTGAGGCACTGGGTTCGATTCTCAGCACCATAAAAATAAATAAAATAAAGGTCCATCAACAACTAAAAAATATTTTAAAAAATTGGGGTCTGTACGTGAAATCAGTCAAATTTTAAAAGCAGAAAGTAATTTACATTTTTTTCCTTACGATTACATAAGGCACTTTTAAAACTGCATCCAGCCTATATGAGTCCCCACTTTGCAACCTTCTGACCTAGGTGTCTCTAGAGGCTTTAGAACGGTTTCTGTTTTAGAACTGATGGTCCGATAGTGGGGAAAAAAGCTGCCTGGATCCAGCCAGTCCTCCCTCAGCAGCCCAGACTTGCAGGGAACTCCTCCCTAATTTCCAAAAGCTCCACCCACATATTACCCAGCTGGTGGCTCAGGCCAGAGATCCAGAAGTCCTCCTTGGTCTCTCCTCCCACCTCTCCCCCACATTGAGTCAAAAGCAAGAGAAGCCACACGTGTCAGGATCCACCCTCTCCCAGATTCAGGCATTCCTTCCCTCTCCCTGCCTGAGGCATCCCCATGGTGCCTCACTCCACGTTGACAGTCTTTTCCTAACAGTTTTAGTGCTTCTGGGGCATTTCAAGGACATTTAATCTCTACCACACTGAAGTCCCTCCCACACTGCCCTTGGTTTCCCTCCTCTACTCTCACCTTCTTCTCTGTCCCTTTAGGGGCCTAACATCCCTTGTGGCTAGAAGAGAGGTCAAACCCTCTAAAAATGGGCTGTTCTCTCTTCAAGAATGCCTGACAACTTCTGAGTCATCCCACAGGCTCTGATCAGGAGACAGTTCCAAGTCACCAAGTCCCTCTCTCCAACCTGAAATCTTAGGGCTCCTTCTCCTTGAAGGGCTTGCTATGGTTTTTATATGCCATCATCACAATGATTAGGTATCATCTGCCTGTCCTAATTATAAGCATGCTGATGCCTACAACACAAGGTTGCATGCCAGATATCAAATGCGGTGCCTGGTACACAATAGCTATTCCAATGTTTGTGGTATGAATAAATGAATGAAGTCAAGGTTTTCACACAAAGATCAAACCCTGCCAACTCCACCAGTACTTGCTCTAGCCATTAGGCTGACCACATAATGAAGGTAATAAACGCAGCTGTAGGACAAAAAGTTACTCCCATTCCTCCCCCTCCTTCCTCTCCAGCAACAATGCAGAATAGTTGCCACTCAGGGGCCCAGAATAAATCAGTCTCCAAGTGCCTCAAAGCAATACAATAGACTGAATTTAATCAATGGCCCCTATTGTTAAGTCCTAAACAAGAAGAGAAAGTACTTCTCTGCCAAATAAAAGGTACTTGTTTGGAGGTGACTTTGAAGTTCAAAGATCTTTTTTATCACAACAGGCAGATGGTGCACCTCACAATAGGTATCATTTATCCTCATATTCTAACTACACACATTGGCCTTTGGTGGCCCCAAGAGCACAGGGATGGCTGTGTTCTTTTTATTACAGCAGAACACGAAGATCCTCCACCCCAGGAGCCAGGTTCTGGAAGCCTGCTGCCCAGTAGGCAGTCTATGTCCTTCCCCAACCCTGCCTCCATCTGGACCCATGCTGGCTGTTGGTCCCTCTGTGGAAGGATTTCCAGATAATTCTGCACAATGCCTTAGTGTCTTCTCCGGGGACCAGGAAAGGGTGCCCTGAGATTTATCAAAGTTTTGTTTCTCAGCTTTGGTTTCTGATTCCACGAATAAGTTCACAATCTACCACCACGGGCCACTCTCCAGCGTTTTGCCCCTAACAAACAGTTGCCAAAGCGTGAGGTGTCTTCGGGATATCTGCTGGAAATCGAAATCAGGGGGCCAGTTTCTAGTTGGCGTGCCCCTCACCCCCGCATCTCTTATCCCCAATTACTCTCTCTTGACAACGGTATTTTTATACCCCTACACCAGATTTATGGGACAATTGGGCATCAGGCAATAACACCCAGCCAGAGTCACAGGCCAAGAATCAAGCCCCACAAATAGCTTGCCCCTTCATCTTTAACCATTTGGTTCATCCTTGAGACCTACTTAGCAAGTGTCTCAGGGCCCCCTCAATCCCGGTTTGGGGGCGGGGATGAAAGAAAGAACCTGAGCCTGTGGGGTTAAAAGGCCACTGAAGATAAACTTCTTTTGTACACACTCTCCCCTCCCTTCTGATGCAACAGAAGGGGGGGGGCGGGTTCTCTCGGTCCTGGCTCCGCGGCCACTGCCACGTTCTCGCCTCCCCGCGGGAAGCCACCCGGCCGGGGCGTGGCAGCGATCTCCACGCGAGGTCCCAGCGCCGGCAGGCAACTTTGAGGGCGCCGCGCCTTGGAGGGGGCTGGCCCGGACGCTCGGAACCACGCGCGCTATTTCGCTTTCGCTTTGCCGCTGAGGTCCCGCGTGGCTCCCGCCCAGGGATCCCGCGAGCACCTGTGTCACCCCCAGCGCGGCCCGGGCCGCGGCCTCACCCCAGCCTCTCCTTGCTCTCTTCTGGGGTGAGCTGATCGAAGGTCTTGGAGTCCTCTTTGCCCAGGAAGGCCTCGTGGTCGTACTGGAAACTCTGGTTGTCCTCGGGCGGCCGCTCGCCCAGCTCCGAGTCGGGCCTCACCACGCGCTCCTTGCGCACCGTGGGCTTGGCCCGCAGCGCCCGCGGCGCCAGCGCTAGCGCCAGCAGCAGCCCCAGGGCGAGCCCCAGGAGGCGGCAGCGGCCACGGCGCGCCATGGTCCGGAGGAGAGGGCGGCCGCGAGGGAGGCAGGAGCGGGCGACGCGAGCGGCGGATCGGCTGTAGGGGCTCGCAGCGCGGCGGCGGGGCTGGGACCTCCGGGGGGAGGGACGGCCGGCGCCGCAGCCAGAGCCCGCCCCGGGCCCCGCCGAGGGGCGCGCCCCGACCTCGCGCGGGCGGCTTCGGGCGGCCGGGCTCACGCGCCCATTGGCCGCTGAGCAGCCGGGGGAGGCCGGGGCCGCCGAGCCACGTCGCCAGCCGGGGTGGTGGGCACCCGGCTCGGGTTTCGCCTCGGCCCCTCCCCGCCTCTCGTCGCGAGGGGCGGGCCCAGGCGAACCGGGCTGGGGACTGGAGGGCTCGCGGGAAGACCGGGAAGTTCTTTGTCAAGCAACAGATGTTCAGGATAAGATTCCTCCTGGTCCTGCCGTTCCGGAGAAGTGTAGGGAAGCACCCGCTGCCCCCGCCCCGCCACCTACATCCAAATGGGAGCCCGAACCCCAGCCGCAGCCCAGCGCCCACAGCCGATCCTGTGCTCTTAAGCCCAACACAACTCCATTTAGCAAAATTTGGAGTTTGGTTACACGGGAGACTGCAGGGAGGCCAAGTGGGTGTGGTCCCCCTGGGGGAGGGGGGTCGCAAACTGGAGGAGGGCCACTGGATAACTTCAGTGTGACCCAACTGAATGCAGCCCATCTGAATGCAGCCCAGGGCATTCCAGCGGCCTGGGGGAATGGAGTCCGGTGCTGGCAGATAGTCCCGCTTTCCAAAAGCAATAGGGATTTCAAGTTTTTATATTTTTATTTCTAAATGTAGGCAATTCATTTCACAAAGGGTTACAAGAATCAACTCCTATCTGTACTATCTGTAATGATAACAATCTGAGAAACTCGGTCCCATAGAATTTTCTGCAATGATGAATGTTCTCCGCCTGGGCTTTTCTATAGATGGTGGCTATTGAGAACATGACATGGAGCTAGTGTAGCTGACGCACTGCAATTTTCATTTTAATATAAATTATTATATGTGTCACATAGCCATCACTATCGTATTGGCTATTATGTTGGACATTATAGGTCTAGAGCAATCATTCTTTTAAAATCAACCCTTTAAAACTCATTGAAATCCATGGGCATTTTTTCAAAACACACATACACACACACACACACACACACACACACACAGTATTGGCATGGGATGTGATTAAAGAGTCAGAGGATTAATGGATCTTCTGAAGCCCCCACCCACAAGACTGAGGTTAAGGATCTCTAGAAAACTAAAACCATGGTTGGAGAAATAAGTCCTGGAGAGCTGTACTCCCAGAAATGTCCTCCATCTTGTTTTATATACCTTCCAACCTTCCTCATATTCTAAGAAAGGTCACTGGGCTGTGCTTTTAGTCTTGCAATAAGGATGTGAGGGCTTATCAATAAAAGCATAGATGCAAGTACCTTTCTTATGAAGATCTCTTTCAATCAATTAACCAATAATTACTGTGGACTCACTACAGCCTGGACTGGATGCATCGGGTACTCTGCAGAGCTATAGCTGTACTGTGTGTGATCACATAGATGTTCATTCATTCTTTCAATAAGTTGAGTGCCTGCTTAAATGTCAAGGTTGTTCCAGGTATTGGTTTCCCGACCATTCACGGGTTGCAAATCAGCATGACAAGTGCTCAGGGACATTCTGTCCCAGGGGGTTTCTTCAGAGGGACAGGACCCAGACTTGGGGATCTATCAGGGAAAGGCTATTGAGGAAAGGACATCTCTACTGAGACTGAAGTGTGTAGGATAAGCAAAGAGGATGGTAAGATCCTATGTGAGCTGGCAGAGAACAGTGAGTTTGAGGTAATGCTTTTGTGACCTTGTACATCCCTTCTGGCTGGCAGTGAGACCTGGGGATCCAGCTGTTGGTGCCTTACCCCACCTCAGCTGACTTTTCATAGGATCAAATGTACTGTTTGAGACCAGACACGTGCCCCACTGCCAGTTGTTTAGAGACTTGGATTTCTAGCAAAGGAGAAGTATGTTGGGTGGGCAAGAGCTCCTTACTAAAATGCAAACATCCTGAGGTAGGTGGCTTAGTACCCTCTGTGCTCATCTGGCATTCAGGATCTGGATTGTTGAGGGAGTGAGGAAGATTCAGAGGAGCCACAGGAAGGGACAGAATTTGAAAAAGCAGAGGATTGGGAAGGGAATGGAAAGTGAGTGGAGACTGGTAACAGACTTTGCTTATGTTCAGCTCTTGCTGATTGATCCAGACTCTCAGGAATGAGAATGGCACATCCTTTGCCCTTTTTACAGTTGGCTTCCTGCCAAACACTAGTGGATTCCAACAGAGTGTTCCAGAGGTAGTCTTGGCTCCTGTTGGAATTAGCAGAGAATTCCAGCACTTCTGTGAATCCAGAAGCATTTACATAATTTCCTCTGGGCTTATTTTCATTCTTTCTTCTTATTTTCAACTCTCCCCTCTCTCATGAGAGTTTAAAAAGTCCTCTCAACCAAGGGATCAGAAAATGTGAGGATACAAAGTAGTCAAGGCATTGCACTATGCAATTGCTTTCTTTCATTTTAAAATTGCTTTCATTTCTCCCTTGTGCCTATATGGGGAGACTAATTAAGTGCATAATAATTCCTTAGGTTAGCCTCCATTCTTGATCAAGCAAAGGAACCCAAAGCAGGAGGAATGACATGTAGCACAGAACTGAATCAAAGGAAAGGAAAAGCAAGTTCTAAATAGGTGAATTAATGGGATGATCTGCTGCATTGGGCTGCAAGTAACTCCATCAAAACTCTAACCAGAAGTTAACAAAGAAGAAGAAGAAGAAGAAATGAAAGAAATGTAATCATCTCATGTAACAAAATGTCTAGAGTTAGATCAAATTCACATTGGTTAATTCAAGTGGATCAAGGGCATCATTAAGGAACCAGAGTTTTGGGTTTTTGTTTTGTTGTTGTTGTTTGTTCTGTTTTAAATTTAACCTCTTTATTTATTTATTTATTTATTTATTTATATTTTATGTGGTGCCGATGCTACAACCCAGTGCCTCACCTGTGCTAGGCAATACTCTACCACTGAGCTGGGGTTTTGTGGTTTTGTTTTTGTTTTGCTCTAATCACCTGGGGTTGGAGGAGGGAAGAGAAAGAGTACTTCCTTCCTGTACTAGGAAGAAAACTTTCCCAACAGACTTCCCTTCACATCTCATTGGTTAGAATGGTGTCTTGGACCTGTGCCTGTTCCAAAGATAGGCGATGGGAAATGGAAATTCCGTGGCTGATTTAGATGAATAAAGGTTCTGCACCTGGGCTAGAAGATGTACAGCATCTTCTGAAGCACATGGTGAGGGTTCTTTTGGCAAAGAAGGGCAAGCTGGAAGGCTGTGTCTGCCAGAGGGAATCATGATTTAACTGCTTTCATATTTAAAAGCACTTTCAGCATCTCTCTGCCTCCTACTTCTCCAACATTCAAAATCATATGAACTCTTTAAGGACAAATCCAAATGTCACTCTTTCCATGACATTTTCCCTTATGCCTTCAAATCAGCATCAATTACTTCCTCCTCAAACTGCCCAAAGCCTTTGTAGCTCGCACATAACACTTCAGAGTCTGATTTGTACTAACAAATTTGCTTCAGTCCCTCCTGATTCTGAATTCCTGGAAAGGATTGATCCCATCTGACTCATGTCCTTGTGCACAAATCCAGGGACTAGCACATCTATTGCCTTCTCACAGAAGTTGATCATCATGAAACAGAGGCCAGGGACCATGTCCTGTTCCTTCACCACTGTTTATGCAATACCTGACACAGTGCCTAGCTTCTGGTAGGTGCTCACTCCTGTTGGGAGCAGTGAATGGATCATTGTTTTGAACTACCCAAAGACAGATTTCCTTGGGAATTAATTAATTACTTCCTTGGGAATTTCTCAGTGCAAAGGCGCACATTGATATGGTGACACCCTGCTCAAGGAGGAGATTCTGTGCCAGCCACAGAATTTATTAGTTCAGGGCCTTGGGTTCAAACATCTGCTACCCGAAGGTAGAAAGTTATGGGTGCAAGCTGATAAGCGCTCATGGAGCTGTATTACCCTCAACTTTGATTTTGTTTATCTTGAAGAAGCTTTCTCACAATAAATGCTTTTGATGTTTAAACCTATATAATAAACGTGCTACTCTTGCTCATGGTTGGTCTTCTTCCATCAGAAGTTTAGCTGATCCACAGCGTCTAGATTTTTTTCTCTCTTTGTGCCTGTTTGTCTTTTTCCCAATCACCTCACCTCCCGGCTGGGGAAACTGAGTAGACAATCATGTAGGTCATGACATGCTCCCCACTCAAAAATCATAAATGAATAATAAAATAATAATAGTTACAAAGTTCTGCTTCTGTCAAGATGGGATCAGGGAAGAATTAAATTTGCTCTCCCATTTGAAGTAAACAAAATATATGAAAAAGAAAAAAAAATGTTTTGAAGACACTGAACACCAGACAATGAAGGGCATTGGAAATAAACAAGCCACGTCCAATAATTACCCCAGTTTTTTGTCTTGACAGTTTCCAGGCCACTGTGCAGGGAGGGAGACCTAAGATAAAGCCTGGCAGATTTCCTTTAAGAGTCAGAAGGGAATGTCCAAAGAGACCAAGTCAGTCATAGTTCTTAGGCAAGCATACTAGAGCGGAGACAGCTGCAGAGAGAGAACCCGTAAGATCTGCAGAGGGTCTTCCTTGAGTATTTAGTAGAGCACTGATCAGTGCCTGCATGCAAGACTGAAGAGTGAGACATCTGAAGGGGTAGAAGGAATGGTTAGTACCAGGACCACCACTTGTTCCCACCAGCCAGACTGGGAAAATAATGTAATTAATTGGGCACCAAGTGGAGAACTCAGGGAGGTATTGCCTCAGTACTGGGGAAAAATTCACCCTAGATTCTTTACTGCTCCTGAAATGCCTATCAAAACATAAAAGACCTGAAAAGGTCCAGCTCTTGTCTAGTAACTTAACGTTATTCCAACAAAAAACCTCAAGAAAACTTACAGGCATACAAAAAATATCCAGCACCCTATAAAATAGAATTAACAATTTCTAGCA